TGTCAAAACAGATTGATTTTAGATAGTTTTTAAATAATTAATTAATGTAAAAAAAAAATGTTGTCTTTGTAGGTCTTTTAAAATTTTATTTTATTATGATTTGCAATTATCGCCAACAAGGCCCCTGGAAGCCACTTATAGATAACTGATAGTTGTATTTAATACACAAGTCTCCTCTCAATTAAAAGACTATTTTTGGGACCAGAGTTTCCATGGTTTGCAGAATTGGTCTCTAATTAAAATTTAAAAAAATACAAAAAGCAATTTGGGACCACCAAAGTAATCTTTAAATTGGAGGTGTTCTTTAATGGGATTGGCCTTTAATTAGGAGGAGACCTGTATTTATGTGATAAATTACTGGCATCTTGTGCTGAACATGGACTCCTTTACAGCCCTGTGAGCAATGCGAGCTGGGCCCGGGGAGTTAACTCCTCAATATTTCTATGTGGGGAGGTGCCGTATTTACGGGGTATGTTTTCAAGGACTTAGTAGCAAAAGTGTGGAAATATTGGGGGCGTTGCAGCATTTATGGGGTATACTTGCAAGGACTTTGTAGCACAAGTGTGGGAAATAACCTGGGTGAAATTGGTAGTTGAAGTCCCTGGTCTATCCTGTGTCAAAGTGACACAACTTTCCGTACGATGGTAGCAGGAATTTTAATCTAAACCGGGTGCTAAGCCGGTAAGCCCCTTGCTAAGCCTACCTTTGGTACAGTCACGAGATCGCAACCAGACTTTTTGCCATAGGGAACCAGTGAATATTGTGCCTTCTCTGGCACTAGAGCACAGTGTGACTTTGGTATAGTAGTTCAAGTCCAAAATAATTTTTAGTAAAAAAGGTAGCGCAAGTCTTATGTCTTTAAGTGGCTGAGGCACTGTTTGGTTGGTATGCAAGTGAGCTCCCCGTGGAGCTTGGGCATCATGGCCGGCAGAGTATGGTCAGCGTGTTGTTCAAACTCCTGACCAGAATGTTAAGAACCAGAATATAAACCATTGTGCCAACCGCTTTCATTTGATGTCTCTTTAAATGTTTATCACGGGTGACTGATTGAGCATCAAGTTTGAGGGCGATAAAGTGTAAGAAAGAGGTCATTCACCCTAAAACTAACTCCAGAGAGTTTGAGAACATAAATAAATCAAAAGATAAGACCAACAAGAACTTTTCTCTATTCTAACGACAAGTGCCAGCTAATCTAAGTCTTGAGTCAGCAGATAAAGGCAAACTTCAGCAAACTGCAGGGGGCATACATCAACAGTCTTCAGATTGGTTTCCTAATTGCAGAAACCCCCTAAAGACTCAGTTTGGTCATGCTTCGTTGGGCTTCCACTTTCTGGTGAAGGATGCCGATCATCTCTTGTAAGCTTAGGTTGATAACACCTTAGGCCCTGTATCCATGTTTTATTAGCTATAATGACAACTTTTTGAGGACTTAACTGAATGTATAAACAAGTTTTATGAGAATGTACTTTTTGGAAGTACCTCACTTGTCGTATTGGTTTTCAGACCTCCTTTTCCAAAATCTTTCTGCCCTACATAAACAATGTTCAAAATGTGTTTAGGATTTGGAATTACTGGTATGATTATTGCAGAAATAAAATGGAAAGTGATAAACCCATAGCTGGAAATGAACTCTATTATAAAACAATCTTTGGTGGCTTTAAATATACTTTTGTGGGTGGGTGGGGGAGGGCGGAAACACTTTTTCCAGCAGAGGAAAGCAGTCTAGGTCCAGAGGCTATAGAATGTATTATGGCCAATATGTTTTTTGGTTTTTTTTGCCGTAGATGGAGAGGTTGGGGGGAGCCAAAGGCTGTGTAGTGGTGGTGGTGGGGAGGGGGTAGCTTGGACTATCCTTAACACTGACTGACGAAGCCCTCGTGTGTATTCAATATATTCCTCTTTAATCTGTTAGCACATTTTGGGGAACCTCCAAAAATAGTCCACCTTTGCTTTACTAAATAAAAAAATACACAGCCAAAAAAATGCAGGTTGGAGTCGTAGACATATAATATAAAGTATATTAATTCAATTCACATGTAATTTCTGATACACCTGTGTACTTCATATTATTTCTACGAATCCAACCTGATTCTTCTATCGTTATAAGTATGTATATTTAGAAATGGGAAGATAGTTACATATTACTTCTATTTCTTTTAGAAAAATAAACTTTACACCTGTGCTACGAATGCCAATATAGATTTTTCTCTTTTAAATTCCTTTCATTTACTCAAATCGTAATTGAAACACCCTCGATTTACAAAAATGAAAGTGTGCTTGAAATATCTTTAAAAAAAATCCCATTATTTATGAATCTAAAGATATTTGGTGGTTCACACATTGTAGTTTATTTTCTAAAGACACATTTAAATACAGCATTTCCAATAAACCTTCCCTTACATTTTTGTAAATTGAGGGTATTTCAATTACGATTTGAGTAAATGAAAGGAATTTTAACAGAGAAAAATCTATATTGGCATTTGTAGCACAGGTGTAAAGTTTATTTTTCTAAAATCAATTACTCTGCGCTTTTTTTAGCCATGCTGGGTATGAGTGCCGTAGGCAATATCCAGCAAACTTTCCAACATTATTGCAACAGGCTTGTTTGGAGAGCCACATTCTTTCTAATACTTTTATTTTTTCAAAGGAAATTTTGTATCATTTCTTTCATCAATAAAGGTAGTGAATACCATAGATAAATAGACGTTTAAAAATGACTCATGTATTTTGAAACTGGAAAAAGTAAAATTTATTGATAGTAATTTTTTTAATTTATATCATTCTGTTGTTCTAAGTAATTTTGTATTTAATTAGGCTGAATTTTATTGGTTTTTTTTATTTATTTTTTTTGTTTTTTTAGTTCATGCGGTAAAGCAATTGTTTTTTTGTTCTGATTTTTTGTTCATTATTTATGTAACACATAATCTCGGAATTATTGTCTCTTGTTCTTCATTCTGTTCTTTTTATTGTACTTAAGATTTTTTTTTTTTTTTTGTGGTTTTAATTCCTGAAAAGCTGTATTTTCTGTTTTACAGATTCATACCTAGATTTGTTTCTGTTGTTTCAATGTATAATAATTTTCATTCCATAGTGGCTTCTTAAAATTGTATGTGGTGCTCATCTTTCTGATCATCATCTGTTTGCTATTTAATGAAATATTGATGCTTTACCTGAACTGTTTGTTTATATTTTCTTTTTATTGTTCTATATATTTTGTATTCATAATCAATGGCAATCATAATACAATGCACTTTTTCTCGGCAAATGTAGCCTATAAATTATTCTTCTTTTGTCCTTGATCGTAGACAAAGCCTGACCAGATCCCTCCCCCAAGTTCTATTTAATGGATCCCTGGAGGTACAGATACCTCAATACGGAAAAACAAATATTTACTCTGGACAAAGGAAATACCACTGGGAAATGATATTTCTTAGTAGGGTTCATGTATTTTGTACAGTTTTTACTTGGACCTCAAATACCAGACATTGGTCTTTATAATTTTTTATAGCCAGCTTACATATTTTAGGTATTGCATTTTATTTATAATTGATTGATAGCAGATTTATTTTTGTTTTTGTTTGGTTTAGTTATAAGCACGTTTCGTTAACGATTTATCGTGTATATGATAAGAAAAAAAATTTCACAATCAAATGAAATGAAGTCATAATAATGGGCAAATGATAAAATCGTTTTTACTACTGTACTACTACTATTTTTTTCATTTTCCCATGATTATGACATCAAAAATATTTTTTGATTGTATACACGATAAATAGTTATTGAATCATGCTAGTGTGAAAATTTCTCTTATTTCATTTATTTTCTATATGAACAATTGCTTTTTTTAACTTTTTAATGTTGATCATTATCGTCATAGTGTACAGGGATTTACCTTTTGGGAAGTAAAAAAAGAAAAAAAAAAAAAAAGAGGGAAAAAGAAAAAAATAATAGCCCAGAATGTCTCAAATGTTATGTTCGGGCGTCTAGAACACAAATATTTTGCGGGGGCATGCCCCCGGACCCCCTATGACAGTGTTGTCTCGATCGGCCCAACTTTCGGCCCCCCTTCTGGCCCCCCCCTTTTGGACATTTCTGGATCTGCCCCTGGTGTAAACAGGCCTTAAAGCCGGGCACACACTGCACTGTACAGCGTTTGTATGACCGTTGGCCAACGAGTCCATCGTCCTTCTGGTGACCCTAACAGCTAAAATGCTGTCTTAAAGGGACCCTATAATAAACTTTAAAATATAACATTTTATGAAACCAAGTATTATATCGTGCTGTTATGTGTCAACATCTATCCTGTAAAATTTAATGTGACTTATTGTTATGAAATAATAAGTTGAACTTGATTTAGAACATGCTAAATGCCTTTATGTGCTTTTATGTATTTTGTATTTTGTGTTGATAATGTGGAAATAAACTTTATATTGAATTGAATTGAATTCTTTAAGTATTTAAAAAATGTGTGCTAATAATCATAATCATCATCATGATATTTTATTTTTAAATCATATGATAATACATTGGTATAGAGAAATATCTCATTCAGTGTTATCAAGATATAATATATAATAATAATAATATATAATAACTATATTTGAAAACTACAGTTTTGAATCAGTGGCACACGTCATGCGGTGAATTCACAATAAAACTATAAACGACAAACGACACATGTAAATATTACATTTGTAGATTACAGTAATCGTTTACATAAAAGATTTGGTACTGAAAATTCTTTGTCCCTATCAAGATTTGAACCCAAAACCCTCCTATTATTGGTCAGTTTGTAGAACAACTAAGTGCTAGTTGGAAGATATACAGTAGGGTTTGAAATCTCATTGGAGACAATTTGTTTTTTCTCAAACAAGAACATTATTGTAATTGTAGATTAAGGTAATTCATAAAGTTACTTAAAATAAGATGCACTAATAAACTTAACTTTGTTTTACTATTTTCATTTATAGATTCATTTTTTCTTTTTTTTTTACTTGCAGAGTTAAATTGAGTGAACTCCTTATGACTATTATATGTGAAAATTTGGAAGAGGATAAAACTTGAAGAAATAATAAGAAAAATCAAAGATTCAAAAAGATGATAGGTGAAAGCTGAATTCAGACAGAAGCCTAGAAGTCACCCGAGATGCTCGATTCTCTCAGAAATCAGCTCAGTATCCCACACACTCTCACAAGCAAACAAAAAATCTTATGCAAAATCTCCTAAAAACTTATTAGTATTTTTTTATCCTTAAGTAATGCCATTCCAATGTTTGTTGTATATATCTCTAAATTTTCTGGTAATCAATACTGATTTTCCTAATATATCTTTAACTTTTTGTATATAAGCCTACAGTACTATTAAGAATTATTAACCTAGCAAAATTATTTTGAATAAGAAATAATGTTAATGCTATTCTGTTTTAGTAGGGAATTCAGGATTTTTTTGCAGGAGGTGGGTAGGTAGGCAGGGGTGATAGTCTGAGGGTGCATGTTTGGGGTATCCCCTTATTATTTTGGAGTTCCCGGACACCTCCATAGTACTAGCCATTTTAAACACTAAAGCTAATGTTCAAAATTAGCGCCACAAGTTCAACTGCTAGTAGGTAAGAGTTCTATCCAAGCTTTCCGAATCGTCCTACGAGTTTTTGCCGAGTTAGCAACTCGGCAAACTCTTGTAACTCGTATGCTAAAAAAAAACCCTAGTGGGAGAGGGGCTTTATCTACCTAAATGATTTTATTACACTTGGATTTTTTAGATGTAACATGGTTGGTAGGGGGGGGGGGGGTAAATCTTCCATTTTCATCACCCCTAGTTCTGCCACTGCAATGAATGAGAAATGCCTTATCAAAACCAAATGAAGGAATTTCTAGATGGATCACAGCCTTATCACGGAAAAAAATTGGCAGTTACTCAGGAAAGTGTAGGATGTATGTCTCCCATTCCCCCTTATTTGATACAATTTATTTCTTTCCTGTTACTATAATTTCTGCAATGATTCCACTAATCACTGATTCTGCAGTGTCAAGCTGTTTGATTGGCTAGGTCACCTGACCAGCTCAGTCAGACAGACACATCAATATGTCAATAATATCAGAAACAAAAATTATATCTCTATATTTCTCTACAATTTATTTATTCAATTATCTAAATACTTAAAAATAAGAAATATATTAAGTTATAGGCTGAAGCAAGATTAAAAATTTGCTCATTGTTAATTACATTTTTTTTTTTTTTTGGTTTCTTTAAATATTTTGGTGTAATTTGTTAGTGTTTCTTTACCTATTTGAAAAAAACAAGGCCATTAAAAAAAATGTTGATTGTTTCTTCCTACTGGAGTAAAAAGATTGACATTATTATTATTTTTTTGTTTTACAATGATGACCAGAAGGTAAAAAGGAACTTGTAGAAATCTTCTTTCAACTAAGTTTGAAGCAAAGTAGAGCTGAGGTAGTTTGGGTTGAACTATCCACTATCAACTAAATATGAACCAATAAGATGTGACCACAGGGCATTTGTACTAATGTGTTTAAAACTTCCCTGCCCATCTCCTTAATATTTTTTGAAAAATTGTTCAACAGTTATATCTTTGCATGGTTTAACAGAATAAATGTATCATAAATTAGAAGTGCTCGCATTAATAATTATTGGACAAATTATTTTGACCTGCAGGTTTCACAAAACAAATTTTGATTTTATTCTCCGAGGAAAAGTTGGTCAAGGCTAGCACAGTGGTGATTCAATGCTATCTTTTACAGTTAAGTCCCTTCCAACAGTTTTTTGCCAATTTGTTCAAGTTCCTCAAATCAAATTAAATCCTTGCCAATCATTAATTTTTCCCCTTGTCACTGTTCATTTTCCAACTTGTTTCGTAATATCCACATCCCAGTTGTAGCATTTTCCTATGGAGCCGTAGCGTACCATCCGGCGCTGGAGATCTCTCCAGACCACCTGCCTTTGCAATTGTTGAGGTTCTTCCCAGCGTTACTCATGCTCTGTTGTCCTGCATCAAGTCTCATTATATGGTTTTCCTGGTAACACGAGGGAGCTATTACAGCATTGCGCAGTCTTTCAATACGGACTGTTTTCTGATTTTATTTCCTTAACATCCAACAGCAAGTACACTTGCCACTTCCAGGATGAGAATCTGAACGATGCTTTATATAAACAAAGTCTCTTTATGAGGCCTAGGGAGTGGAGTTGTTTTAGTCGTGAGAAAAATTCCTGCTGTGACAAGAAATTGAACCTAGGATCCTGGTATTGGAAGGCAAGCATCTTAACCACTGAGCTATTAAACTCCACTTTTTAATTTCATACTGCAGTAAAGTGATCAATGTAACAAGATTTTGGTGTGTCAACTTCTATAGGCCAAACTTGCCCAGGGATGGACTTTCACAGATGAAAGTTCTAGACCACCTCAGCCCCACCATGGTTAGGGCTGAGGTAAGAAAATTTATGATTATGGCAGGACTCTTAGACTTTAGTGTAATTTTATTTTTTTCTCCATTTTATTTATAATTCTGAATAAAATTGGGGGGGGGGGAGCAGGTGTGCTCGGGTTGACTGGGTCCCCCTTGAATCCGCCACAGAGTGTACTTAAATAATATTGTAGGACATCCTTTTCTGAGTGACAACCAGAATTTTAGAAATTCAATTTAAGTATTTGGAAAATACAAAGAGTAATATATGAACATAATGCTGCCTTCCAACTACTTGTATTTTTTGGTACATTCTCATACTCAAGTAAAGCTTCAAGAAGTCTCTATTTATTCATGTATTTCTACTGTGTGTTTGTGTGTTACTGACACAATATATAGTGAAATTGTATTTTACATTTCTTGTACCTAAAATTGAATAACCTACAACAAATTAATATTTTATATTTGACCAGTAGACACAAATTAATATTTCATTTTCTCTTCATGTACCAGGTTTATGTAAATATACTTTATATTTTTGGTGTCAAATTGACGAGCAAAAAAACCGCCTTGTTTAGTGCAATGAGTATATTATAAGTACCGCTTTCATAGCTTAACCCCAAATTGTGTGATATAGTAGATTATTATAGTGCAGTATAATGTTTTATTCATATTTTATAGTGATAAATTAAAGGCATAAATAAATGTTACCTGCAAACTGCAGGCAAAATAATTGATGAATGATTCTTGCAAAATAATGTAAATAATCGTACAGTGTGCTGAGAGTACTAAATCATCAAACATTATACAGCATTATGTATACAATAAAATTATACAATGAATCATTAATACACAGCAACACCTGTCTCTTATACGCATCT